CGACCAAAGTCATATGTATCAGAAAGAGTATCATCAGGCTATTTATTCATCTATTTTTTAATTGCTATACAAAACATTGCGCGACGCACGAAAATAGAATGTCGCTGCGTCATGCTAAAACCTCAAGAAAAAAAAAACCCACTACTTCCATGACTCAATGTGGAATGAAATCTGGACAGATACCGCGATTCGAAGATTGAATTCATGGCCGGAACCTATATTACAGTAAAATCCGGAACCAATATTATGATTTTAAGGTTCCGGCCGGAACGCGAAACACCCGTAACGTATATTATGCAACAACGGACGGACGGACTAACTCAAATTAATATCACCCACTTTTCAAGCGGGGGACAAAAACACATGCACTACTGCAGGTTTCTTCATGAAGTGTATACTCTGGCCATTTGTGCATTCGGACGTGGAATAAGAAGAAACAATGCTAATGCCATACTATGCGGCCGCCTGAAACTTTCTCCTCTATTCTACGGTTTGAATGAAACGAACTATCAGATGGAGATGTTTGATCTTATGATGCTTTTTAGTGCGCCTGATGAAGTAAAAAGTTTCTTACAAAACAGTGAATAACATTCTCGTAAGTTTAATTCACATATGAACATGTTTTATTTTTTTAAAAAAAGAAGATAGCAACGTGATTTACATGATTTCCAATTGTTAATGAGATTAATAATTATATAGAGTCATGCCACCAAAGTAAGGGAGAGGGGTGCGACTTTATTCTGGAGTCAAAGAACAAAATGATTAAGAGGTGGCTCCCTCCCGGTGTTCCGAAGGAGAAACACTGGAGAGAGACATGTTCCAATTTAGATAGATTAGAAAAGGTAATAGAATAAAAAGACAACATATCATAACATGGCAAATCTGTCGTCATTTATTATGTTTAGAACAATCAAGTGAAACGTGAAGCGGTCACCCATCCAAGGGTTGAATAGGCTCACATGCTTAACTTGCCTGAAATAGAGAAAGACTCTACTAGAATCTCTAGACTTTACTAGTAAATCTAGCACACTAGCGAGGCAGTATCCTATATACTGTCCGCTACCCAAGCATCTGGATGAGTAGTTGATGAGAAAATTGCAACAAAAATTTGTTATGTATATCTGAAACGGACGGACGATTGGATAAACAGGAAGTTGACATCAGAAGTGAACAAAATGAATCCCATCATATGACATGCCTCAACAAAGTATGATTGTGCTAGAATTTCAAGCATCTGTAATGAGCAGCTGCTGAGAAAACTGCGACAAAAATTACTGTTATGCATGGTACGGAAAGACGCATGGATGAACAGAAAAATGACATCAGAAGTTAATAAAAATGAATCCCACCACAGAACATACCTCAATAAAGAGTTTACTAAAATTTCAAGCATCTGTGATAGGTAGTTGATGAAAAAACTGCGACGAAAATTTGGTATGTATGAAACGGACAGACGCATGGACAAACAGGAAGCTGACATCGGTTTTGAACAAAAATGATTCCCATAATATGGCATTCCTTAGAGAAGATTGTATTAAAATTTCAAGCATCTGCAACGAGAAGTTGCTGAGAAAACTGCAACGGAATTTTGTTTTGTATAAAATAAACAGACACACGGATAAACAGAAAGTTGGCATCGGATTTGAACAACCAGTAGTATCTGTCGAGACTGAAGCTCTACTGGTTTGTACTTATAATAAAGGAAGAGAAAAGTAGCAGTTGGGACTTAACACTTTATAAAAGCAATAAAAAGAATGATGATCCATGATTAAGTCTCTTTTTGTGGCAAGATCACAGGTGCTTGAGGACAGGACCCCCCCCCCCCCTCCCCAGTATAGACCCCCGGGCCTGTTCGACTTTTTTCACATAAATTATATATGGATGACACATTTGTGATAGAATCTATCCTATCAATTCAGAAAATTTGCTTAAACTTACATTTTATAAAAATATCTACCCTCTCTATATATAAATTAACAAGGTTGCCAACTTCGTCTGCAAACCGAGAGGCACTGCCGAGAAATTTGGTTGAATCGTCTCATAAATCTAAACAAAGCCCTAAAATCAACAACTCATATTGTAGATTGAATATTCTTTTCATTAACCACCAACTCTCATGAAGGTTAAGGCACTTTAACAGTCGTTATGACCAAGTTTTCGAAAGGATGTCAGGCTACAGTCAGCGTTTTTGCTTAGTGAACGGAAGTGACGAGGAGACGACTTTTTACCAAAATACACAGAACTTCTGCAGAAAGTCTGAGACACTCTTTTGAGGATTTGGTTGATATACACTTTAAAAAATGTCTTTCAAACGTATTGGGAGAATAGAGTTCTAAACCGCTGATGCAAATGAAATGTCTCTAATTATTTTTCAAATACCTGATTTGCATGTGAGAGTTATGCCCTTTTAAAAATGCAATTTATAAAAATATCTTCTATTCATTAAATATTCACGTAAATCTACAAAACGTTTGAAAATAAAATTTTGATGAAGAATTCGTACAAAAAAACAAGAATATATCTATTTTTGATATTTTACACGTATATTTGGGTATATGGGGAACATCGGGAATTAGTCCTCTCCTTATTACTTCCGTTTAATAAGCTTTTTACGGAGTTGGCAACCTTGTTGATTTTTATATAGAGAATGTAGGGTAGCTTTAATAGAACGTTTGTTTTATGTAATTGTTCGATTTGCTGGTATAGATCTTATCACAAATATGGCAATGACAGATTTTTTTATGAGAAAAAAATCGAAAAAGCCCAGGGGTCTATATCGAAGGGGGGGGTCCTGTCCTCAAGCACCTGTGGGCAAGATTGCAATAAAACTATGACTGTAGGAGTTCAATTTTAGGTACCATGGCAACATCAATCATCAAAATCAAAAACTGATACTTACTGAGTACTGACAAAAACTGTATTTGGAGTAGCATTTTGAAATATTTCGCAGAAATTTCTATTTTTAGTAACCACAACAACATCGGTCATCACAATCATAAACCAATACATAGCATTATATATCTAAGTGTAGTCTACTTGTGTGCCAAGTTCTACTGAAATCAGACCAATACGGTAGGAAAAGTGGCATTATAAAAGTATTTTACCGAAATTAGTAACCACCGCAACACTGTTCATCAAAGTCAAAATCTAATATACAGAATTATGTATCTTAATGTTGTCTACTTGTGTGACAAGTTATATTGAAATCAGACCAAAACTGTAGGTGGAGTAGCATTTTGTAAGTATTTCACAAAAATTTCTATTTTTAGTAACCACAGCAACGCCGTTCATCAAAATCAAAAACCGATACACAGAATTAAGTTATATGTAAGTTATATTAAAATCAGATCAAGACTGTAGGAGTAGCATTTTGAAAAATTGTTTACAGACAGACAGATGAAGGACGTATTACTATCGCATAAGCTCTTCTGGTCCCTGACCTGTACAGCTAAACATAATCTCACCATATGGCATGCCTCAGAAAAGATTATTAAAATTTCAAGCATCCGCAATGAGAAAACTGCGACGATTTTTTTACGGACAGACAGACAGATCAAGACTGTAGGAGTAGCATTTTGAAAAATTGTTTACAGACAGACAGATGAAGGACGTATTACTATCGCATAAGCTCTTCTGGTCCCTGACCTGTACAGCTAAACATAATCTCACCATATGGCATGCCTCAGAAAAGATTATTAAAATTTCAAGCATCCGCAATGAGAAAACTGCGACGATTTTTTTACGGACAGACACACAAGGGTAAAACAGTGTACCCCCCTCTCCTTTGAAGGGGGTAAAACAAGCATTCTGAGAGTATTGCATAAGCAATACATGTCCCCTACCGGGTTCCCCTTTCTCTTCATGATACAGGCTCGTTAGGAGCATTGATTTAGTACATAACGAACCCGATCGTTACATCGATTATTAAAAAAAAAAAGGAAAAATACAAGTGCCAGCCCACAATTCCTTCAAAGATCAGTGACGCAGAACGAAATTCTTACTTGATCTGTAACTTGTCAAGATACTCTTCCATACAAAAAAATCAGCTCAAAATCCGTAAGCGTTTTAAAAAAAGTGCGGAAAACCAAGAGGTTACCGATAGTCCCCTCCGATTTCACTGGTAGGGGACTAATAAGACAAAGCAATACATACTATGTTTACATAGTTCACAAACAATTACTGTAAAATCACATATTTCATGGGTTCAAATGTTCTTGGTTTGAGGAAAAATAAAAGTTCGTGGGGATTTCTTTTCTACTAAGTGTTAAGTAGTTATATTTGTGAAAAATTACATTTCTTGGTAGACAAAAATTCGTGAGTCTCTTTATACATCGAAAATAATGAAAATTTAGCCCTCACGAATGTGATATACTTACAAATCTTATATAATGTGATTGAAAAGATTTGGCACATCCGCCCTAATCATAACAGCTTGCTGTTTTGATCTAGCTGCCCCATTTTATCTGAAGTGTATGAAAGTTTGGGCTAATTCTCGGAAATTTTAAACGTCCCTTGTAGTTTTTCTAGCGAATCTACAGCCTCTGGTTCGCAGCATCAGTACCATACACACAAATATTTGGCTCTGTAGAATATGCTCTACAAAATATTCTAACTCGAAACCCATATTAAGTTCAGTCAGGTAGATTCATAAGCATTAATTTCAGACTATGGCTGTTCCATATTGCGCAACGTAGTCGAGAATACTGAAAATTTCACCACTCCAGCTTTAGACGACAGAACATCCAGTTGTACCTTTGCAATCTTGTTTTTTTTTAGTAAAAGAATTGGAAACATAGATGTGACTACGGAAATGTGCTGATTCACCGATATGGGTCAATGAATTTCCTTTTTAGATACCATATTGTACAGCATTAGGTCGTGTAAAATTCGTGAACGTAACACGAATACGTGTCGTAGAAAGAGAAACATGATTAACTGACAAGGCAAAACTGAAATAAAAGCAAAAGGTTATGAATGTGTTTCCTTTGCGTTTACAGCCACTAAGAAACAAAGATCATGAACTTTTTCACGGTTCTAGTTCTCTGTGTTTTTGCCGTTGTTACTGAAAGTTATGGATTTAGACGGGTAAGGTTTTTATAAAAAAATTTTCATAAAGTATGACATTTTAGCGCCGTTCACTGTTTATTTTATTATGCTGAAAACTATTAATTGGCAACATCATTTTTTCCAATTAAATGTTCTGTGAAATTAAGCATTTATCGAGATTTAATTTATTAATTCTTTGACTGACTGTGTTCAAGTGTTGCTTCAAAAATAGAGAAAACTCGGTTTCTCTATTTTATATTTAAATTAACGAATATATTACCTTTTTATGTTAGAGATTATGAGGGAATTTCTTGAATACAATGTACAGCTACTTTTTCCTATTATTTTTAAAATAATTTAATTTTTTTTTAGACCTATATGCCTATGGCTAAGTTAGACCTCGATGTCTTCTCCGGTAGGCCCAATCCATCTGTTGAAGTACCAATGCCTTTCATGATGAGTATGATGAAAAAATTTCCTCTTCGTCCTACTAGAAACAATCCACGAGGTATAGTCACAAATCATTTTTGTTTTATTTTTTGTATTTTTTTGTGTCACCGCAACACGGTTTTCTGTTTTACACGTCTCTTCCCATGGCTTATATAGACTCTTCTTTATTGAAAAAAAATTTCCAAAGGTTAACATTTTTATATAATTAGCTGACATATTTTTTTCATTGATTTCTTTTTTTTAATTTATTAGAACTTGCAATTGCATTTTGAGATAACAGAGTGCCTTTGGGTAAAAGATGTGCAAGGACATTGAACCATGGTTCTATGTCTAAGGTTAATGTCATAGCAAAATTATATGAGAAGCCCTTGTCTGGAGCATGTCTTTTCTCCCCTTGGTCCATTGTGGCTAATACTTCCCTCACAGATTGCCACTGGTCAATGGATGTGCAGTGACCTTGAACAAAGTTTCTAGGTCAAGGGTAAAAAATATCCTCTCTGTTAAAAATCTTTATTATTCCATATTTGTCTTCCATATTTGAAGAGGATAATTATTATGCAACAATTTTCCTAGAGGATATATTTAATTTTTTTTCAGAGAGTAGTAACTTTTTGTTCCCTTTAGACTCAAATAACACATCCCTTAATAGTACACAAATGTTCCTTTTAAAACCCTTTTCAGCTACCTTATTATCATGTTCATTGCTGAAAGCGGGTCCCTTTGGGATGGTCGCCAACTGAATGAAATCTAGCTTTGACTTCCCATTTAGTATTTTTTCTCAATTTTCTGCATTAACATATTCTTGCACAAGGAAGATTTTCTACATAGAATTCATTCCACTGGGAGACGCCAACCTACTGCCATTCATTTTATGCATTCATCGTTTTACTGAAGCCTTCTGTACTAAAGAGGTTTCATTGAAAAAAAAATTGCTGTAGATTTAAGTAACTGTTGAATCAAACGTATTTTCATAACATCAAAACTTCGCTTTTTTCGAATACAAATACAAGCAGTTGTGTAAAGATTGTGTTTTATTTTTTGATATTTTGCATCAGTATTTTACAAAATAATTGTCAAAAACTTAGAAAATATAAATTGTTATCGCGTTTAATTTGCACATATATATTCATATTTCATAGAGAAACTATGAAAGTACTTGGAAGTTTAAAAGTTTTAATCACTATTACTATATTAAAAAGTTCATATTCATTTTCTTGTGTACACATACACTTTCTTTCTCTCATTTTTAGCTCTTGGATATCGTGGTTTTATTGTAAATATGGGGACAATGTCTATGCCAATTCCTGGGGGTTCGAGCAGAGAACTAGAAGGGATGATGATGAATTTTTTCAACATTCCTATGGAAGTCAGAAACCATTGTAACCAGCAGGTATTTATGTTATTCCGGGGCTGATTTCCTTATCGTCAACTAAATATAAACCTTAAAATAGTAAAATAGGCCACTATTTGAAGTAACTTGCAACTTATTAAATTTAAGAGTCTCTGTCTGAAAATTATAAACCACGAACAAAAACACGCCCTCACAAATACTTAATTTAAAAACATTCTTTCCCCAAGGAGGATTGAAGAAATTTCAAATTATGTTAAAGAAGAAATGACATGTAGTACATGTATAACGTTGTACTGTAGTTATGAGCGAGGTTAGAGTTGACAACAGACATAGAGACAAACAAACAGACAGACAAACATGACAAAAACAAAATACCCCCCGGCTCTTTAGATCCCGGAGCATAATAACTTGCAACTTATTATGGGTCTCCCCTTCCTAAAATTTATTAACCAGACGCGCAAACACATGCCATGATACAACTTGAAACAAGAAGTCTGTGAGCTATATCCCCGCACTGATGTGAAATTACCCACTCATGCTGACACTGAATTAATACAGAAACATTTCAAATTATGACATTCTGACTCGCTAAAAAAAGAGTGCTAAGTTTTTCTAGCATCTGCAATGAGTTGTTGCCGAGATTGCAACGAATATTTAATACGGACAGACGCAGGCATAAACAGGAAAATGACACCAGATTCGAAAAAAAAAATCATTCCACCACATGGCATACCAAAACAAAGAGTGTGCTTAAATTTCAAGCATATGAGTAGTTGCTGAGAAAACGGTGACAGAACTTTTGTTCGGAAAGACGCATAGATAAACAGGAAGCTTACATCGGATTCGAACAAAAACTGTACTGTGAGCACTGAGCTCACTTAATGATACTCCCCGCCTCCTATATGAATATAATAGCAGTGTCCATGTTTTGCCATGGGAAACCCAAAATATGTGTCGGATCAAAAAGTAAGATAGGAGGTGCACAATAGAAATATGTAATAAAGATTCTGTAAAAGTTTCATCAAATTTCATTCAGTGGTATGAGAGGAGTTACGGATAAGAGAGGGTACCCTAAAGCGTAACCGACAGACAGACATACCGATTACTATATACCCTTCCGCTTTTCAAGCGGGGGTTATAATAAATCCCACCGTTTAGCATGACTTTACAGAGAGTTACCTTATATTCCAGGTATATGGTGATGAGAAGTAGCGAAAATTGCGAAAAAAAAATCTATAATTATATGGTACAAACGGATTAACAGGAAGTTGACATCGGATTCGAACAAAAATAAATTCCACAATATGACATGCATAGATAAGAGAGTGCTAGAGTTTTAATTATCTGCGATGGGTACAAAAAAAAAACTCACAAAATTTGTAACACACGGACACGCATTCACAAGGGTAAAACAGTATACCTTCTATCCTTTGGAGCAGCGGAATAAATATGCTCTCCAAAAATAAGTATTGTGGAAATTTAAACATTCTGTTTTCGACGGAGTTATAACAATATGCAGTATATAACTTAAAAATAACTATTCACTTTAATAGTAGTGATTGTAAAAATAACTAAATGAGATCAAAATTCAAAATGTCTTATTTTTTGCAGATATTCGGCAAAGACAGAAACAATCCTATGTACACGGTCAGTATAAAATCATTCCTCTCAGTACATTAATGCATAAATCATCTTAACATATTTATAAAAATATTTGAAAATGAAAAATAAACATAAACGATTTCGATTACATTTGCAGGAAACAATGAGTTCAAGAACGTGTCAAAATCCCCAGTCATCAACTACATTTCAACCGTCTAGATGGAACTCAAATTCAATGATACAGTCACAAAACAACTGTTATAACTATGCCACTGACATCATCACAAACACCTTTGCACAACCAGGCAGAGCTAGTGGATATAGCTATCCAAGTACTACCGGCGAAAATTTGCAGTATGGTTCTGAATTAGATGGGCTGGCTCGTGTCGATCCTCCTTCTGAACAATGCTTACCGGTTCCAAACAGAAACTTGATTGCTCTAGTTATATGGCCTGGAATGGACTATCACTTTTACCGTTTGGATAGCGATGGAACATTCTCCCACAAACCTGGTCAAACAATTGCCCGAAATTATGACAATAGTGATGCAACTATCACTGACCCAAGGTCGGCCGATCGGGGACCTTACACTGTCTTTCACTGCTTTATGGAGACCAGTTCGAACAGTGTCGGCATCATGTAAATTGAAGCACTGTATTTAAAAAAAAGATGCTATAAAGTTTGAACTTATTTTAGTCTCTATTGCAAGAATGAAATACGATAAATCATTGTTTAATTCGAGAACTTTATATTTTCGCTTATCAGCGCGAGGCAGTGTGCTCACAAAAATTTGATTCTAGCTTAATTTGATATTCCTCAGATAAAATAGGGCAACAATGACAACATTTCATGAAAATTTTGTCTCATTCAAAACGAGTTAACGACAGTCTCGCGAAAATTTATTGATCTACAGTATTGTAAAACCAATGCGTCTTTTCATATTAACACAGCAGTCGGAATTTCTTTTCCGTTAGAAAAAAAATTTCCGGAAAAAAATTCTTACTCTCAGCTAAAAAAAAAAAAAAACAACACTTTTTTAGCTCAGCTGAGCCGAAGGCTCAAGTGAGCTTTTCTGATCACAGTTTGTCCGTCGTCCGTCCGTCCGTCTGTAAACTTTTCACATTTTCGACTTCTTCTCAAGAACCACTGGGCCAATTTTGACCAAACTTGGTACAAAGCATCCTTGGGTAAAGGGAAATTTAAATTGTTAAAATAAAGGGCCAAGTCCCCTCATAAGGGGAGATAATCAAGAAAAGACAAAAATAGGGTGGGGTCATTAAAAAATCTTCTCAAGAACCACTGGGCTAGAAAAGCTGAAACTTATGTGGAAGCATCCTGGGGTAGTGTAGATTCTAAATTGTTCAAATCATGACCCCCGGGGGAAGGGCGGGGCCACAATGGGGAATCAAAGTTTTACATGGAAATATATAGGAAAAATCTTTGAAAATCTTCTTCTCAAGAACCACTGGGCCAGAAAAGCTGAAACTTAAGTGGAAGATCCTGGGGTAGTGTAGATTCTAAATTGTTCAAATCATGACCCCCGGGGGAAGGGCGGGGCCACAATTTGGAATCAAAGTTTTACATAGAAATAATTAGGAAAAATCTTTGAAAATCTTCTGAAGAACCACTGGGCCAGAAAAGCTGAAACTTATGTGCACATGGAAGGATCCTGGGGTAGTGTAGATTTCAAAATGTCTAAATTATTATCAGTGAGTTAGGGTAGGGATGCATTATGTATTACAAGGGGAAATCTGGTAAAGAACAGAATGATCAAAGCTTCTCAGGTGAGCGATGTGGCCCATGGGCCTCTTGTTAGCTGATGCTGGGATTTTTTTTTTTTTTTTTAATTTCCGACTCCGATTAAGCTAGACTCAAATGACATCAATCGATTTGGAGTTATTTGCAGTTTTTTTTTAATTCAGATTCTACAGTGAATCTGAGTAGTATACTAAAAATTTCACTGATTTGACACATATTTTAACACTATTTCACTATTAATAAATCGGATTCATGTGATTTGAAAATGGGACATATTAATCTGATATTAAAATTTTCTAAGATATGCCAAAAATATGTCTAGATGCGCAATTAGGAACAAAATTTGTTATTACAGTAAAACTCGGTTATAACGTAGTCACTGGGACCTATGAAATTACTTCGCTATATCCGTAATTCGTTATATCCGCATGAGAAAATCGTTAAAATTATATAGCTGGGGATTCAAGATAACTTCGCTGTATCCGTGATTTCGCAATATCCGTGTTCGTACTAACTGAGTTTTACTGCACATCGCTCCATGATATAAAAGGGATTTATTTGAACAAAGTAGCAAACTTTACTTAAAAATGGAGAAAGGGCTTAACACATTTTGCCGAAAAAAAATATCACGTGGTACATGTTTGCTTCGTTTACATGTAACCTACGGAAGTTATAAGAAGCTATACTCGGCCTATTCCTGTAGGATTTCGTCCCTTTATAAATAATGAGAATCACTTATAAATGCCCTCAGAATATCTTCTTTAACCTTCACGACATCACAATATTGATTTAATATCGGTAAAAATGATTTTAAATAATTGTGAATTCAAACTTTTCTTGAACTGTTTATCTTATTGACATAATTTTGTTTTGAGCTCTATTGATCAGAGACAAGAAGAGCTAATGCGATAAAAATGTCCGCCGTACGTCTGTAAACAATTTTTCGAAATACTTCTTCTACAGTTTTAATCTGATTTCAACATATGTTGGCACACTAGTAGACTACACTAAGATACATAATTCTGTTTATTTTTTTATTTCGATGGACGGTGGGGTGTTGACATGGTTACTGAAAATAAAAATTTCTGTGAAATACTTTCAGAAAACTACTTTGCCTACAGTTTGGAATGGTTTTAATTTAATTTGGCATGCAAGGTGACTAGACTGCAATACATTGTCTTTAAAATTTGTTTTGATTATGATGTTGCCATGGTTACTAAAATTGAAAATACTTTTAAATTTGAAGGCTACTCTTCTTTCAATTTCTTAACTTTAAATTTAAATTCTTCCACAAAAAGAGACAAATATAAAAATAAGGTTCATTATTCCTTTTATTGCTGTTGCAGAGTTTCAAGTCTCAGTGCAACTTTTTCCTCCATTGTTAAAAGTTCACACCAGTAGAGCTACATTCTCGTAAGAGTTTTTTTTTTACTTTGAAACATAATCAGTTTTTCACAATGCAATTCATCATCATTAGAACGAGGCGTTAACGAAGTTCGGTTGTTAAGTGCAGTGTTATGACGTTTCTCGGAACGCTTCTACCAGGGAGCGTGACGATCGGGTAATTATTTCAATTATATTCTGTCCTACTTCTCTTTAAAAATAGAAATCCCCATCACGCAAAATTGTTCGTCCCTTTCATATGATGTAAAAATGTCAAGATCTTATAAATGTAAAATCTTGTTTTCTGCACTTGACAACGCAAGAAGTACATTAAAATGAACAAGAACAAGGTCCGATGTATGAATATTTTAAATTAATCATTAAGAGAAGTCCGGCATGATGTTACAAAGCTAGTTGTCATTGTATACCATAGCTTCGGCGACTCCACAGAAGATATGTGTAAACTTCATTTCACCTACCTTATTTTTATTTTAACCCTTTTCAAGAAAAACGATGCCCAAACTCAGGTAAGAAAAGTGTGTTTTTGTGTAATTTGTCTCATAAAATTACGTTTTGGCGTCGAAGGTCTAGATTTTCCCTGTATGTACCGAAATATATATTTTTTTCGATGGTTTTATCCGAGATAAATCTACAAATAAGGAAATCGCTTTGTAACCTCATAAAGCTATTTGCCTTCTATGTCACAACTGCATGCTTTCTTGCTGTGTGTTGTTTAGTAACACACCAGGCTGGAATATTTTGATTTAAAAAAAAAAGGTCGGTTTTTTTAAGTTTTACACATTTTTTATGAATATTATAACATGCATTTATCACGTGATCGCAAAGAAAATACGAAGATTAAAGCTAAGTTAAATCATATTTCCAATTCCATCCTCGGAGATATTAGTTTTGTTGACTGAAAAAATCTTCATAAATTGTTCATTAGCAAATCGAATCGTGCTTTACTTCTCTCCACTGTTATATATTGGTCCATCAGAAATTTATACATTGACTTTGATTTGTAACAATCTTTATTGTGTTTTTCTGAACTGTCATGATTCTTCAGTAACCCGGGTCGTCACTACGCTGTATTCCTGAATGCACAAATAGACTCTTACTCTCGGATGTATTTGTTTTGACCAAAACTCAGTGTAATCACAAGGAAACCTAATCTCCTTTTGCTGAGCTGTAGTTCGTACTTTACTGAGATAGACATTTTATTGGTTTCTCTACATTCAGTGTCCATATCCGAGACACAGTCAATACTAAGTTGTTAGACATCTTCAGGAATACTTACATCAGAATTCAATTTCATGTTGAAATCCTGAGACTCTGTAATGCCAATCTCCAGTGTGTGCTCCACTGTGTCTTGACAAGAGGTTTTTGAACATGACTGCAATAGAGATTGACAGTCAGAAATTTCTTTTTGTTGAAGTTCTGAATCTCAAACTCCGAGTGAATTTCTACAGAAGATTCCGTTTACACATTTACACCGACAGCAATATATCATTGAATATGTCATTAATTTGCTTTGACTGTTTTTATTGTCGACATTAATTAGCATTGTGCGATATTTTCTAACAACATCTTCTGTTACGTCATCATACCAAGGAAATCACGTGAGATAGCATTACGTCTGCGTAATAGGGTCAATGCATTGGTTCTGCTTGAAGTGAAAGGGCGCAAAAAAATTAAGTGCTCATTACTGTTGTGAACGGTGAATTACACGTATCACGTATTTTACATCAAATTTGTGGTAGACAAATAACTTTTGAGGAAGTACCTTTATCTAATCTGTCGAAAACGGATTCCATTTTGTGAACACTTTTTGGAAGTCATCATACTGTTACACGTGGTGAAAACATACATGTACATCCGCCATGTTGAAAAAATCGGCCCATCGGAAAAGTACAGATCGCGAGACAATATAGCGAGAATCCAAACACATCCCTTTTACGAGTCGTGTTCAGCTTTATTTATATTATAAATAGTTCAGTCAGAGAATACATATCCATGTAGTTGAATTTTCGTAATATGTTAAACATGAACCGATTCTTAAAATTATAGAATATTTAAGAACAACTTTACAAATCGTTCGGCAATCGTAAGTTCTCTTTATTGGACGTATTATCGTGATTAAAAATATCTGAGGAAACATCGATATACTATACGACAATATTTTCTTCCTGTATTGCATCCTTTAGTTTACGAACCAATTTCACCTCGTCACGCATGTTTGGAAAAATTCGTACGAATTTAGGAAAATATAGCACTTTTATCATTGGGAATTGTTCGATATTCGGTCCGAATTGGAGGAAAGTGACACCCCTGGCCTGATTGATTGTACATGTATGTTGTTTTACATCCCATTCAACGATTGTTTACTCAAATAGATATATCACCATGCAACGGTGAAGGGCTTTAAAGACTGATCTAAGTCGATAAAATATACCTAGGTAGCAACTGTTCTTTACCAAGTGGCGGATCAATGTCCCGTATCGGTGTTTGCTAAGGTCTCTATATAAGTAATTAATTCTCAAACGTCAAATAGAACAGCATACAATCAATCAGTTAGTAGAATACTTACTCAAACTCTTCTCGGAGATTTAAGTTTCTTTAGTATGCTAGGTACTGGTAATTTCTGCAAAGAAGGAAAATCTCTCTCTGAAATATTCTAGAAGTCACTTGAAAGTCAAGATTTATGAGTGTAATGTGTATTATTGTCATATTTTTATAGAATGAGACCGTAATAGTTGAGCTTAATATCTTTTCCGGACGACCAAATCCCATAGTCCGAATGATGAAAAGACCAGTTCAACGAATGTTAGCCTCAAGTGACCTTTGGATACAATCTGCCTTGCCCAGCGGTACGCTTTGATCTCTGCAATAGATTAGAAAATTACACCCTTACATAACACAGTAAACTACAGTAGTTTTACAGATTATGGAACCAAAAGCTTGTCTTTATAGCTCATTATTTTTTTTCCAAAGTTTTGGGATACCGCGGGTTCACGATTTATGACCTTGAGAATGCAACAGAAACAAGGTTGGTCGCAAGAGGATCTGACATAACGATTGAACACCAACTGCTACAGTGGAGTGCAATATCAAGAGACATACAGCAACACTGCCGGCAGAAGGTACCTCTATAATATTACATTACCTCGCAGTACTACAAGGTCATTAAGTATATATAAATAATATTTGATTTAACCTATTTACATTAAACTTTTGAACCTTTTTAGCTTCTTCTCTGGAACCACTGAACCAATTTCAACCAAATTTGGTATAAAGCATCTATGGATGAAGGGAAACAAAAATTGTGAATTTCATGGTCCCTGCCCCCCTGGGGCCTGGGGGGGGGGGGGGGGCAAAACCACTAAAATTAATGCAATCGTCTTCTTTACTCCTGGACATCAAGCAGTCAAATTGTTTGCATAATTGTAATCAGCATTTAATCCTCTATCAAAATTATGAAATTCATGGCCCTGGGGCCAGGGGCTTTAGTGCTATGGCGGGACTAAATAGATTATATAATGAAAATGCATTATTTCTTTGAAAATCTTCTTCTCTGCTCCTTGGCATTGAATAAACTAAGTACATAGTTATGATGAGCAAGAGTGCATCTTCCCAAATTGTGAATTTTATGGCCCCAGAAGCAGGGGTTCTGGTGTTAGGGTGGGGCAATATAAATTATATAGTGAAAATGCATTATTTCTTCAAAACATCTTCACTACTCCTGGGTATTAAATAAACTAAGTACATAGTTATGATGAGCAAGAGTGCCTCTTTCAAAATTGTGAAATTTATGGCCCCAGGGTCAGGGCTTTTGGTGTTAGGGCGGTTCTCTAATGATTATATAGTGAAAATACATTAATTCTTTCAAAATCTTCTTCTCAGCTCTTGGGTATCAAATTGACTTACTTAGTATATAGTTATAATGCCTCAACCAAATTTATTTGCCATTTGGTTCATAGAGGGGGGGGCTCTTTTGATTATATTGTGAAAATACATTAATTCTCTGAAAATTGTTTCCTATGCACCTGGGTATTATGTTTATGATCCAAGTATATGAAGTTATGATGAGCAAGTCAGTGCCCCTTCCAAACTGATTAATTTCATGCCCCCTAGGTCATGGGTATGGGGGGGGGGGTACATAGTCTAAAAATAAATAAATACTTTGAAATCTGCTCTTTTGTATTAATCTACCATTTATGATAAATTTCCAAAAATTTTGAAATATGTGGCCCCATGGTTAGTTGTTCCTTTGGGGTGGGTTGCACAACTGGCTTTGAAGTGGGAGTGCATTTTCTCTATGTTATTCTGATCTACCTCTGGGTATTAAGTAAATAGAGTAAGCATGCTTAGTTTATAATTATGATAAGCAATGGCGCTTCTTTCAAAATTGTGAATTTCATGGCCTCTGGTTTAAAACACGAACCAAATTCAAATGTTGGAAAGTTGTTACATGATACTCAGGTGACCTATAAGGCCCGTAGGCCTCTTGTTGATTTTGATGATCAGTGTTGCAGCTGTTGCTCTTGATTGTAAACAAAGAAATTTCTTTTACTTTTCAAAACGATACTCCCCTTTTAGGTTTGGTCTGATTTCAATATAACACAAGTAGACTATACCAAGATCATTATGATTTCAATGTGTTACCTTAGTTACTATAAATATAAATTTTTTTTGAAATACTTTTAAAACTACTTGTACCTCCAGTTTTAATCTGATTTCAATAAACACTTTAGCACACATTTCGACTACGCCTTGATACGTAATTCTTTTGTTTGGTTTGTGAGTTCATTGAACAGTGTTGCCGTGGTTATTAACCAAAAGTCTCTGTCGATACTGTAGCTCTACTGGTTTGTACTTACAACAAAGGAAGAGAAAAGTTGCAGTTGGGACTGGAAACTTTACAACAGCAATAAATAGAATAATGATCCTTTATAAAGTCTCTTTTTGTGGGAAGACCACAATAAGACTACAACTCTACGAGTATTTTTAAAAATTTTCAATTTTAGTAACCATGGCAAAACCGAAATCGAAATCAAAAACAGACACACAGAATAATGTATCTTAATGTTGTCTATTTGTGTGCCAGGTTATATTGATTGAAATCAAACTAAAACTGGGGGAGAAGTAGCCTTTTGGAAGTATTTCACAGAAATTTCTATTATTAGTAACCACGGCAACACTGATCCTTGAAATCAAAACCCGATACACAGAAATATGTATTTTAGTGTAGTCTACTTGTATGCCAAGTTATATTGAAATCAGACCAAAACTGTAGGAAAAGTAGCATTTTGAAAATATTTCACAGAAACTTCTAGTTTTAGTAACCACGGCAACACCGTTCATTGTAATCAAAAACCTATACACAGAATTAAGTATCTTAGTGTAGTCTACTTGTATGCGAAGTTATATTGGAATCAGACCAAAATTGTAGGAGGAGTAGCATTTTGAATGTATTCAACAAAAATTTCTATTTTTTGTAACCACGTTCGAACACCGTTGGAAATCGAAAACCGATATACAGATTTATGTATCTTAGTGTAGTCTACTTGTGTGCCAAGTTTTAATGAAATCAGACTAAAACTGTAGGAGTACATGTATTATATTTGAAAAATTATTTACAGACAGACAGACGGACGCCGGACGCATTACTATCGCATAAGCTCTTCTGATCTCTGACCAGTAGAGCTAAAAGGTGAAATTTCTTTTTTATACATACAATACAAAACGCTACTCCGCCTACATCAATATAATTTGTCGCACAAATAGACTACATAAGATACATATAAGTCTATTTATTGGTTTTTCTATTTCATTGTACTGGTTTGTCCGTGGTTCAACAATTTAATTTTCCAAAATGATTTAGTTTTAGAATTTTAATTCATTAGGTTAACTTTCTAAAATTAACTTCGAAAACTCAAAATGAATACATGTATTGCTGTAGCAAGTCAGAGTCATTCATCATAGCATCCTTTTAAAAATTTTGCGATTGGCTTGGGTGCAAACAAACCAAGTCAATTGCGCGATACTATCGATGATATTCCGAATGGGAATGGAATTATTCTCTTACAACTACATTTAAATTGTGCGATCGACAGTGAACATAGTCTGCTTTTGCGGACACCTCCCTTATCCTTGATTGCACTTCGGGACATTTCCACTCTTCACATCACTCTCTACGGTACCATCGGCTCATACATTAACCTTTGTCGTTGGCTCGCGTATAACACAGTGAAAAACACGCGAAATAGTGCGTTTGTTTTAATTCATGATTATTCAATTTCTATACTTATGTCTGAGTTTTGAAATAAATATTTACTATATCAATCCAGAACTATTAATTTTATTTGAAAAAAATCCTTCAAATATTACATTTTATACGTCATGTCAAAAATCTTGACGTGAGCTCTGAGAGAGGAACGAACAACTCTGCAAGGGAGATTGTCATCACACTGGCTCCATCATACGTCATGTCAAAAATCTTGACGTGAGCTCTGAGAGAGGAACGAACAACTCTGCATGGGAGATTGTCATCACACTGGCTCCATCATAGCCTTAGTTTTGCAATTCCCAGACCTCACTGTTCCTTGCTTGACGGTATTCTCTGAGCAATAATTTTTGCACCTGTCTTAGTAGCCTCGATCAATCCTATGAATTCCTCTCTGATGAACGAACCTTCAACAAATCGTACATATACACATAAATATTCTTTTAGTGCAAATATCAGTGATTTCATCACAGCAAACATATGAGGCTCCGTTTTGGTATTTACTGGCAAAAAGTGATATAACCGATTCGAATTGGTGATATCACCTATTCATCTTCAATAGGTGGTATCACCTATTCGAAAAGGTGATATCACTTATTAGAATTGGTGATATCACCTATTCAATTTGAATAGGTGATATCACCTATAATTTGAATTTCTTACAATAAATAATGAACGCTCCCTATAATATATAGATTACCACTGGAACTTAGAAAATTCGGACTACCCAGTTTTCTTGCGTTTTCCAATTTTTTCTGTAAGTTTACATGATAGAAAAGTGAAATAGATTACTTTGTGAGCAAAACAATCTTCTATTGGGGTTGATTAAAATTAAATGCAAAACTGTAATCTATTGTCTCCTAGAATGAGTTATAAAATGGTAGTGAAAGTAAATATGATTAAGGGACCTATAATCTTGGGAGCTGTTATTATTTCGTAAATAATTTGAATAGGTGATATCACCTATTCGAGTAAGTGATATCACCTATTCAAAAGGTGATATCACCTATTCGAATTAGTGATATCACCTTTTCGAGTAGGTGATATCACCAATTCAAATCCAATAGGTGATATCACCTATTTGAATAGGTGATATCATTATATCACTTTTTGGCAGTAAATACCAAAACGGCGCCCCATAAAAACAGCAAAAAAGGTAAGGGTTATTAGCTTCTTTCTTATTTCTGTTTCACAACAACAGATAATTTCATTCTGGAATTTTTGTGATCAATAACAGGGACTTTGGGAGTTTAGATGATCCAGGAGAACTTTGTCAAATTGAGACTTCCAGTCCACAAAATATTGGCAATTCCTTTCTTCTCTCTTCGGTGCTTTATCCCAATCCTCTTAAGGAGCATTGGGTCAACAAATTAACTATCAGAAATAACATATTTTTTAGCTCTACTGGTCAGAGACCAGAAGAGCTTCTGCGATAGTAAGGTGGCCGTCCGTCTGTCTGTCTGTAAACAATTTTTCAAAATGCTACTCTTCCTACAGTTTTGGTCTGATTTCGATATAACTTGGCACACAAGTAGACTATACTAAGATACATTGTAATAGGGCATCAGTTTTTGATTACGGTGTACGGTGTTACTAAAAATAGAAATTGCTTAGAAATTCATTTAAAATACTACTCCTACAGTTTTGATCTGAGTTCGATATAACTTGGCACACAAGTACGCTACACTAAGATACATAATATGGGGCATCGGTTTTTGATTTCAATGAAAGGTGTTGTCATGGTTACTAAAAATAGAAATTTTCTGTGAAATTCCTTTAAAAATGCTATTCTTTTAACAGTTTCGGACTGATTTCAATATTACTTGGCACATTAGTAGACTTCACTAAGATGCATAATATTGTGCATCCGTTTTTAATTTCGATGAACAGTGTTGCCATGGTTACTAAAAATAGAAATTGCTTAGGAATTCCTTTAAAACGCTTTTCCTCCAACAGTTTTGGTCTGATTTTAATATATTTTGGCACAAAAGTCAACTACACTGTGATGCATAATTTAGTGCATCAGTGTTTGATTTCGATGAACGGTGTTGCCATGGTTACTAAAAATAGAAATTTGTGAAATTCCTTGAATACGCTACTCCTCCTACAGTTTTGGTCTGATTGCAATGACTTCTTTTCTCATCCTTTGTTGTAAGTACAAACCAGTAAAGCTACAGTCTTTAAATAAGTGGTATTAACTGGTTTATATATGGTATTTTAAGCTGTCGACTATCATTCGGCAAAGAAGAATTTCACACGTTTGTTTTAAAATTTGACCATTTTTGTATGTCTTCATATGGGGCTCTTCTTCTAAAGGAGATCGATATAGTCTAAAAATGACCGCGACACCCCAGCCCTCTTAATGCAGGATTCTGCTGTCCAAGGCACACAATAACATCCATGATAGCCAGCAATATTTGTCGATTGCGATTATGAAGTGGTAGCGTCTCTATATAGAAGTGAAAAATTTTCAAAAGGGACGTTAATCAACATATTATCAATCAATCAATATTCGGAAACCAGAGAACTTTCTCTCTGTTCCTAATATTCACGTATTTCACAAACACATAGCAGTTATTGGATGCGTTTAATATGAATTTTTATGCCCCCGGATGGATAGATTACGGCGTGTATTGCTTTTGTCTTGTCTGTCTATTGTCAATAAATTATGCCCTTTCAAATAATACAAAGGTCAATGACCATGTGACCTTGACCTTTATACTAAAAATAGCTTTTTCGAACTCTCGCTATAATTTTTTAACCATAAGAGATAGATATTTGGTATGCATACTCCACTATTTAAGTTTGTTCAACTGACACCAAGTTCAGTGCCCTTGACTGTTACCTATAGCGCCGGGCGTATAGTGTTTCACAAACTCATCTCATTGGGCCATGAAATTAAACATCTTTCACGGAAAAATATATATATATTTCTATCAAATCTTAATTTTTACACAAATTAATGACTTTCATGCATATATAGAATGTAGTATAAATTTCTTCGTAGAATATGATCTATTCTTGTGTCCTTACTCTTCATCCGGTGGATATAATTTTGAAAAGAAAAACTTTAAAAATTCAAAAGTCATTTTAAAACTTTTCTGGTTTTTAGCTCTACTGGTCAGAGACCAGAAGAGCTTATGCAATAGTAATGCATCCGTCCGTCTGTCTGTAAACAATTTTTCAAAATGCTACTCCTCTTACAGTTTTGGTCCGATTTCAACATAACTTGGCACACAAGTAGACTACACTACGATACATGATTCTATGTATCGGTTTTTGATACGGTGTTGCCATGGTTACTAAAGTAGAAATTTCTGTGAAATTCTTTCAAAATGCTACTCCTCCTACAGTTTTGGTCTGATTTAAATATAACTTGGCACACATGTAGACTACATTAAGATACATAATTCTGTGCATCGGTTTTTGATTTCAATGAACGGTGTTGCAGTGGTTACTAAAAATAGAAATTTCTGTGAAATTCTTTTAAAATGCTACTCCTCCTACAGTTATGGTCTGATTTAAATATAACTTGGCACACATGTAGACTACATTAAGATACATAATTCTGTGCATCGGTTTTTGATTTCAATGAACGGTGTTGCAGTGGTTACTAAAAAAAGAAATTTCTGTGAAATTCTTTTAAAATGCTACTCCTCCTACAGTTATGGTCTGATTTAAATATAACTTGGCACACATGTAGACTACACTAAGATACATAATTCTGTGCATCGGTTTTTGATTTCAATGAACGTTGTCTCCATGGTTACTAAAAATAGAAATTTCTGTGAAATTCTTTCCAAATGCTACTCAACCTACAGTTTTGGTCCGATTTCAATATAACTTGGCACACAAGTAGACTTTACTAAGATACATAATTCTATGCATCGGTTTTTATTTTGATGAGTGGCAAGGATCATTTTTCTATTCATTGCTGTTTTAATTTTTCAATTCCCAACTGCTACTTCCTCTTCCTTTGTTTTAATAGTAGAGCTACAATCTCGACTGAGACTTCTGGTTTGAAAGTTGCTTCTCTTCCTTTACCCGAGGTAGATCTATTGAAAAGATCTGCGAAATGTGAAAATTTTATAGAAGGACGGACATTCAGCTCAAGTGACGAGACTGTAACTCTACTGTTTTTGCTTATAACAAGGTAGCATTTTGCACGTGTTTTAACTCAAAAACCGATATATAGAATAATGTATCCTTTAGTGCAGTCTTGTTGTGTGCAAAGTTATAATAAAATAAGAACAAAACTAAAGGTGGAGTAGCGCTTTAAAAGTATTTCACAGAAATTAAAAAAATGTAGCAATCATGGAAACACCTTTTATCAAAATCAAGAACAGAACCAATAAAAAAAAATATGTATCATAGTGTAGTCTTCATGTTGAAATCAGACCAAAACTGTAGGCGGAGAAGCGTTTTGGAAGATTTTCACAGAAATTTCAATTTTTAGTAACCAATCTTCATTTGATAATCAAGTACCAGACAGTTTTTTCTTCATATCATGCGAGTTGAAGTCCGAAAAATTATTAAAGTCGTTTGTAAGATGTCAGTTTTTCTCTTACAAGGTACTTTTATTTGTATATTTTTGTGTGAAAAAAATCTCGAATGCACGTAAAACAGCAAAATCTTGTTATCTCACTCGTACATGTATGTATTTCATTTGAATTTAAAAAAAATCAGTAGTTTTCCGAATGATAATGGAATCGATGACTGTCTTTTAATTCTACCTTCTGTAAACAAAGTATGTTGTTGATAACATTTGTAGGTAGCTAAATGAATGAAATCTCATTTGCTGCTATTTAAAAAATTGTGTCACGTTTGTTTCATTTAACTCGTATATAGATGTTGAAAACACTTACTTTGGATAAACGTCTTTCAGCTCCGACTACTTATTGATTTCAAAATTATCTCAGAAAATAAACTAATCTTGTGACCCTTCATTATGACACTATATTTGTAGATTCGGGAGGCCATACATTCCAAGCGAAATGGTGAAAAACTGGTAATTTTTTTTTTACATATATATCCAAGAAAAAAAGACAAATACCGGGTAATGCATGAAACAACATAATCACATAGATACTAAGTCATTAACGGTTCGTATCCTTCCTACGAATCTTTGAAACTATCATTTTGAAGCAGTGTATTTTATTTAAATATTCATGTTTCATCACACATATACTTCTGCTACATAACAATCTTCAAGTCTTAAATTTCTCCATTTCCTCCAAACACCAACAACTTATTTTCTTATAAATATGGATAACAAGCAAATCAACCCCTGTAAAACTGGATAGAAACTTCCGAAATTAAAATATAATTATTTTGATTTTTAGGTCACCTCAGTAAACTCAGGTGATCTACTGCTATCTGTCTGTCGTTTTCGTAAACTTTTTTAGCTTCTTCTCTAAAACCTCTAAAACCGCTTAAACAATTTCAACCAAATTTGATATACAGTATTTACGGGTGAAGGGAAACCAAAATTTGGAATTTTATGGTCCCTGCAACCCTGGGGCCCGAGAGGTGGGGTCAAAACTACTAAAATTAACGCAATCTTTAAAAATCTTCTTCTTTATTCCTGGACATCAAGCAGTCAAACTGTTGGCATAATTGTAGTCAGCATTGAGTCCTCCAACAAAATTGTGAAATTCATGGCCCCTGGGTCAGGGGTTCTGGTGTTAGGGTAGAACGTTAAAGATCATATAGTACAAGTGCATTCTTTCTTTGAAAATCTTCTCCTCAGGTCCTGGGTATTAAACAAACTAACTTAGTGTATAGTTATAATGAGCAAGAGTGCCTCTTCCAGAATTGTGAAATGCATGGCCCCTGGGTCAGGGATTTTGGTGAAAGGGGAGTCTTTTTGATTATATAGTGAAAATACATTTAATTCTTTAAAATCTTCTTTGCTCCTGGGTATTAAATAAACTAAGTATATAGTTATAATGAGCAAGAGTGCCTCTTCCTAAATTGTGAATTTTATGGCCCCTGGGTTGAGGGTTGTGGTATTCTGTTGATAATATAGTGAAAATACATAGGTTCTTTAAAAATCGTCTCCGCTCCTGGGCATTTAATAAACTAATCAATATATAGTCATATTGAATAGGGCTCTCTCTTCCAAAATTGTAAATTTTATAGCCCCAGCATCAGGGTTTCTGGTGTTAGGGTGTGGCTCTATCAATAATATAGTGGAAATGCATAAATTCTTTAAAAATCTTCTCTGCTCCTGGGTATTAAACCAATGAACTGTGTACATAGTTATGATGAGGAAGGATGCCTCTTCTAAAGTTTTGAATTTCATGGATCCTGGATCAGGGGTTCTGGTGTTAGAGCGTGGCCCTAATGATTATATAGTGAAAATGCATGAATTCTTTGAAAATCTTTTCTTTTGCTCCTGGGAATTATGCCAATGATCTAAGTATATATATATTTATGATGAAGAAAATTGCATCGAGATCTCTAGCAAAATGGTTAATTTCATGCCCCCTGCATGGGTCAAGGGTATCGGAGAGAGGGGGGAGGGGGGTGTTACAGAGTCTGGAATAAAATAATGCTTTGAAATCTGCTCTTTGGTATGAATAAACCATTTATGGTGAAAAAAATTTATGATAAAATTTTCAAAATTTTTGAAATAGTGGCCCCACGTTCAGTGGTTCCAATGGGGTGGGGTGCACAACTGGTTATACAGTGGAAATGCATTTTCTCTTTGTTAATCTGATCTACCTCTGGGTATTAAGTAACCAAAGTCAGCATGCTAAGTGTATAATTATTTTTTTTTTTTTTTTTTTTTTTTTTTTTTATATTTATTTATTTTCAATTCTTCATACAAACAAACAGTGAAATATATATAACAGACAAATTACATTACAAACAATATGACAATATTACCTTCAGACAATTTTATGCAAAATTTTTAAAAAGTTTGTAGTCAAGTGATTTCAATTTTTTTAGAATGGAAGCATAGAAAAAAAATTGAAGATTTAACGTGATTAAAGATGTTATAACTAGTTTCATCTAAGGAATTTATTCGACAGTACATCTTATATTTGTAAATCCTACAGGCAACATATGAGATGAGTGTGTTGAGTGATACAATTTTTCTATTGCGCTCAGAGCTAAATCCAATTATTACATGTTTCCATTTGATATCTATTTTCAGGTACAAACTTAATCTATTCCAAATTTCACCAACATTTTTACATTCAAAAATGAGATGTTTTGAAGTTTCATTCACGTGGCATAATTTGCAATTACTACTCGTTTCTTTTTTCCATTTACTGAGATACAAGTTATTACAAAGAATATTGTTTAAAAGTTTATAGTTGAATTCTGTAAGTTGTTTATCGGGTATGTCATATAATTTACATTGATATATATTTTTCCATTCTGAAGGTTCGACACTGAATTCGTTGCTTAAAACTACTTGATAACATGGTTTACAAAATTTTCTGTGTACAAGATTGTCATAAAAAAAGTTACATCTTTGGTCTATGATATTAACCTGTCCTGTGTAGAAAAGAAAATAATTTTTGTATCTTATGTTAACAAACTTACAATTTGAAAAATCATACTTTAGTAGCAAAGGTTTGAAAACAGAAGAAAGAATTTTAAATTCACACAACCAGTTTGACTTGTTTTTTATACAATTAGAAAAATCTAACAATGATTTAAAATTACCATCATCGTCAAATAAGTCTTTAACATGCAAAATCCCACTGGCTATCCAGTTTTTAAAAAATAATGTATTTCCCCTATAAACAAAGTTACAATTGTTCCATATCGGCTGTCGAAGAACATTATCGGAAGACATTTTGTTCAAAAAACAGGGCTTACATTCATTAAAGCAACATAACATTTGTTGATAAAATTTAGGTAGTTTCTCTAATTTTTCCATATTTTCTACTTTTCTATCAGAAAAATCTAACACATAGAGAATTTCAAAATTTGATTTTTTACAATAACCATCAAAAATTTTGTACAAAATACCTTTGCTTTTTAACAATCTAGGTACCCAAGCTGCTTTTAAGGCTTTTAATTTACATTCAATATCAACGATTGAGAGTCCACCTTTTAAAATTCTACCTATAAGCGTGTTTCTTTTAATTCGTTCATTTTTATCCCAAATGAAGTTATAAATTAGACGTTGTATTTTTTTAATGTAAGCATTATCAGGAAGACTTAGTATTGAGGCAACATATGTAAGTTTAGATATAGCAAGTGTCTTAACTATACATGATTTACCAAATAGCGTTAGTTTTCTTCTTTTCCAAGATTCAAAAAGTTTTTCAATATCGTGATAAATTTTCATCCAGTTTTTATTGTAACATTCTTCCTTATCATGCCCTATGAATATTCCCAAACATCTTACTGCTTTATTCGTAATTTTTATACCGTAGAGTTCATCATATAAATTTCTTAGTTCCCCTAATAAAATGCATTCTGTCTTATGCATGTTTACTTTTGAACCCGCTTGTTCACAGAATTCTTGTAATTTATCCAGAGTTCGCTTCATTGATATTTCGTCTTTTAAAGCTACAGTCAAATCGTCTGCATGTTGGATGTTTTTAATTTCATAATTATTAATTGTAATGCCTTTTATATCAGTATCACATTTTATTTTAATAGCCAAAATTTCTGCGACGAATAGGTACAAGAGAGCGGAAATAGGACAGCCTTGCCTAATTCCTCGCGTCATTTCGCTGGTTTTAGAAAGCCAGCCGTTGTTTTTCATTTTAAACATTGGATTTGTATATAAAATTTTTGCCCACTTTATAAAACTATTGCCAATATTAAATTTTTCTAAGACTTGGAAAAGAAAGTTCCATTCAACCGAGTCAAATGCTTTATCAAAGTCTAAGAAAAGTAATATACCATCTGAATTTTCACTTTCACAGTATTCAAAAACGTCAAGTACTAAGCTAGCATTTTCACCGATATATCTCCCTTTTATGTAAGCCGTTTGATTTTCGTTAATCAACTTATATAGTATATTTTGTAATCTCTTTGCAAAGACAAAGGCAATAATTTTATAATCTGTATTTGTTAAGCTTATCGGTCTATAGTTTTTTAAATTATCTTTTTCACCCTTTTTGTGGATCAGTGATATAATAGAAAGTTTCTGTGTGTAAGACAATTCACCTTTATCAAAAATATCATTAAGTGCTTTATAAAAGAAAGGCCCAAGTGTTTCCCAAAAACATTGATAAAATTCACTAGGAAGGCCATCTTGTCCAGGTGATTTTTCTTTTTTCATGCTATCAACAGCTTCCTTGCACTCTTCATATGTTGGAAATTTTTCTAACAATATCTTATCTTCTTCACTTAATTTAGGGATATCGTCTATCTCAGATAAATATTTTTCTATTTTTTCGTTTGAAATTTCTTTACTAGTATATAGTTCGCTATAAAAAGAATACATTTCACCTAAAATGGCATTAGTTTTACTGATTTTATTTCCTTCTCTTGTTTTTATTTCTTTAATTACGTTTGATGATTGATTGCGTTTTTCTAAATTTAAAAAGAATTTTGAATTTTTCTCTCCCTCCTCTATCCATTTAATTTTAGACCTTATTTGCGCACCTTTAGATTTTTTGTCATAAATAGCGTCAAATTCCGCTTCTAAAGTTTTCAGTCTTTTGTAATTAAAATTTTCTACCATATCTTCAATTTCGCGTTCTAGTGTTCTTATCTTTTGTTTTATTGATTTTTGTTCATTTTTTGCAAAATAAATCCTTGATATCTGCTATGCTATAATAAAAAGAATCATTTATAAAAACATAATCTATTCGACTTTTAGGATCATTTTTTGCATCACACCAAGTGAAACCTGACATACCTGGATTTTGTTTTTTCCATATATCATCCATGTTATAATGCCTTATCAAATCTTTTAAATAATTTGCACTTTTATCTACATTATTAATATTGTTTATCTGGCAATTAAAGTCTCCACATAGTATAATATTTTCGTTGACACAATTTTTTGAAATAAAGTTCTTAAGTTTTTTGAAAAATTCACACCTCTTCTTAATTTCATTAGGTGCATATATATTTACTATTGTAAGAATATTACCCTCGATTTCAAGATTTATCAGAATTTTCCTACCATCAATAGACTTTTTGACATTTATTATGTTAACATCTATTTTTTCGTTAAACAGAACAGACACGCCTCTACTGAATGCAGAGTCGCTATATGCGTGAAATGTTTTTCCTCTCCAGTTTAAATTATATACAGATTCATTTTTTTTCTAAAAAATGTGTTTCTTGCAACAGAATGATATCTATATTACATTCTTTCAACCATGTAAAAATTTTACGTCTTTTTCAGGGGTATTTAAACCCCTTACATTAACTGAGATAAATTCTAATTTTTCCATAAGAATTAATATTCAAATGCATATATTTGTTATAGGAAAAAATACCGTAACATTTCATTCCAGTCCGCTGATCGAGAATCAAAGTCCTGCGACGTTCGAGCATTACACAGTTTTTGATTTATTTGTCCTTCTTAGCCGGGTCGTCTGAATCAGAGTCCGATGATTCATCAAAACCTGACATGGATTCAAGAATCCGATTGATTCCTTAAAGCATGTAACATCTGTGCAATGTCTCGCTGTTTGGTGTTAACTTTCGGTTTTTGTTTCTGTTTTGGTTTGCTCCACTGGTCACTTTTTTTTCGTTTCCGTATTTTTTTGCCGATTTTACTGATAATTTTGCCAAGTAGGTTTTTTCCAGGCCAGGAATCAATTTTGGTGTTCTCCGTACCTTTTTTATCCAAACCAGTGCCCCATATGTCATTGTAGGTTGATTCGGCGAATATAATGTCCTTCTTAACCGATCTTAATTTCTCCCGAAACATTGGGACTTGTACACATTTATTTTCGATTATTTCGGTCATGGCTGTTTCCCTGGTCTCAAACCATTGCTCGTTGGGTTTGACCTTGTCGCCATACCGTTTGGCTGATAGGGCATCTCTGGCCTCCTGAACCAGTTTGGCTGACTCGAGATCGCCACATCTAACGGCCTTTGTGTATTGGAAGGCATGTTCCGCAGATTTATGCGTTATTCCATAAATATTTAATTCACAAGGGAAAAAATTAGAAAGCACGTTGTCTTCTCCGTTAAAGGCAATTACGTTTTCTTGGACTTGATAATACGCACACTTTTCATCCCCTGGCTGGTGCCCTTCCTGTTTACACACTTTACAACGTGGGGCGTTATTACAGTACCTCCTGGTATGATCTGTTGCCCAGCATTTAGTACATGTGAGTTTCCTCTGGGATTTAGGCTGACCGTAATGGAAAATCTGACAGCGCAGGCCCGCACAGTAGTTGATCCTGGGAAGATACTTTTCTTCGGGTTAAGGCTCAATGTAAATAAACCGATTCCCGTTTAGTACACTAGTCATCCTATTTGTAACCGGGTGGCGAATTTTCTCGTATAGAATATTACTTTTAGGCTTGACTTCAAGTTTTTCCAGTAATTCATGAACAGCTGAATCGTCTACAGATAGGGGAAGGCCACATAATCTGATTTTCAAAGTTTTCTCTGTGGTACTATGGTTACCTGACGAGTAAGGATTTGTGTCAAAGAAAGAAATAGAAATGTTTTGAATATGTATTCCCTCTGTTAAAAGTTTTTCTCTACTGGCATTATCACTGAGGTAAACTCTCCACAAATTCCGGTCAAGTTGTAGACAATGCAAGGAATTTCCAACCACTTTCGTGATACAGTCCATTAAGTCGAAGTCTGTTATTCTGCCATCATCCGAGCATTGAATTTCTGAGTCTTTTAAATATAACGGTTTGATCGTACGTTCCTCTGTCCGATCACCCATGACGGAGTTTAAACCTCGCTGTGCAATACAGGTAATACAAGCGATCAAGGGGTGAAGAGTGTTCACCAAGGTATCAGATAATTCACACACACAAAAAATTCACAAAAAACGAATATAATATCCAATCCAAATGAAATGAACATATATACACAGGCCAAAAACTCTCCTACGCCACTTTCAATAGATTTTAAGTGTGTAGAAATAGAGATTTTGGCAAAAAATGCCGAAAAAAACACAAGAACAGATAAAGCGTCCACCCTGTTCCGTGTCACGTGACTTTTTTTCTAAGTGTATAATTATGATAAGCAATGGCGTTTCTTTCAAAAGTGTGAATTTCATAGCCTCTGGTTCAAAACACGAACCAGATTCAATTGTTGGAAAGTTGTTACATGATACTCAGGTGATTTATAAGGCCCGTGGGCCTCTGGTTTGAGAATGATTTCAATAGTTTGAAAATATTTATCCCAAGGAGTTTTTATGATTATATATTAAAGAAAACTCAGTAAACCTATGTCAAAAGTAATTGGGTGTAAATATATACGATATATTAAGTTGTCAACTATCATTTGGCAAAGAAAAATTTCAAAAATTATAGTTTTACAATTAAAATAGATAAAACAAGGTAGGCCCCAGGAAAAACAGTTTGGTTCTAGTGTTCGACAAAATGCATGTTGACCTATAGCTAGAACCATGTCAATAAATGTATAATAAGTAATCTATAATTGAAGGATTCAATACCGAGGGATTATTGTAAACATTTAACACTTTTGTCTCATTTTTTTTTCAGGTTCTGCAAGAAAAATCAAACAAACTACCACTTAACCAGGTATATAAAAAATACAAGTACGAATACTTTAATAGACAAAATTGTTTAACTCGGTGATGTCAGATGGGATCTACTTAATCGATATGTAATTAAAAGATAGGGGGTAATTCACTTTTTTGATACAAGTTACTGCTTTTACAGACCTTAGCATGTGAACAAGCTCCATCTGAAACGACGTATGAACCATGGAAGTGGAATAACAGACCATTTACTCGTCGTTGGAATAATTGTTACAATTACGGAAATAATATAAGAACAAATACATTTGCTCAGCCGGGAAGAGCAAATAATTATCGCATCCCAACCATGGACGGACCATCAGTACAGGTTGGAGCAGAGCTAGATGGACTTATTGAAGTGGTAGCAACGTCTTCATGTCTTCCTGAAGAATATAACGGAAATTTAGTTGCATTAGTCATATGGCCTGGAAATGATTACCACTTTTACAGATTGGATGAAAATGGTTTATTTTCCCATAAACCTGGAAGGACAAAAGCTAGAAATACGGACAATTCGGGAAATTTGATATCCGATCCTAAAACAGCGGACAGAGGACCATACAGTGTATTCCAATGTTTTATGGAGACCGATCCCGATAATGTTGTTATAAGGTGACTCAGAACTTAAGGCTAAGATTACAGTATTATTAAACATTCCAAAAAAGCGTTCTCTCTCTTTATTTAAATGATATTTCATTCATTAACAGCATAAGTGTGGACCAATTTCTAAGGGAATCTTAATTCTTACCTTAATTAGAATAAGGTTGTAGCACAGTGACAGTCCTTTGGATGTATAAACCGAGGTCATGTTTCCCAGTAAGTGGTGGCAAGAACAATATCCTCCGCTGCTCAAAAGCCCTAAGTGTGGTCAAAATTTGCATCTCTCAACCGGCAAGGGGTTTCGTTTTTAAGTGTGAAAATCATGATACGTCAAACAAAGTAAGAGTTATACACATATACTTTTAATCTTTTCTCTTTGTTATTAGTACATACCGGTAAAGATATGTATCTAACAAGAGACACAAAATGGGGGGGGGAGGGTTGTTTCAAAGGACAAACAACTTTTTATTGATGTTTATTGCCCCTTCCCACTTTTTATAGCAATGTAATCTGTTACGGTTAATGTTGTAGAGTATGTATAAAATTGTGCACTGAATCAAGTTGTAACCTAACATTTCCACCGACAAGATGATCCATATATTAGTATTTACTTTGACTAGTATGAACTATTCGTCGTTATTAATTTCTGGAAGAAATTAAGTCAAAAGCACTGAACAAATAAATCACTTGCATGCACATATACTGTAAACCAACTATTATTCGTGTCATTTTTTGCGGGCCATTGGGCAGGGAGGGATCTATTTCATGCGAGCACCTCTAGCGACATGGGACCTCGGTTTATACGGTCTCATCCGAAGGACCGGTCTCCACGTCCCACAGTGGGATTCGAACCCGAGACGTAAGGATCAACTCCTTTATTTTGCGATTCTAGCGCAGACGGAATTAAAGTAGTTAACAAAACTCGCGAATATAACTCGGATGCGAAAAAAAAATTGGTTTAAATAACAAGCCAATAAGGTAGAAGAAACACTTTAAAGAAGGGGGCTGTAAACATTTTTCATTTCATCAAAAGAGAATTGTGAAAAGGAATGGATATTATTTATTTTTCAATAATTAAAATGAAATCCGAAAGGGAAAATAAAAATATAGCCATATATCTGTACAGATCCTCTTTACACTGCACATAAAAGAGTACCAATTCCATGATATTGACGTCAAGTAGTTTCTACCACATTCCCCTGTTTTCCAAGGGTCTGCATTTTAAGGTATTCACTTTTTTAAGTCCACATGTATTTTCTCTTCGGATTTACGTGGTAAGTTCTTTCACAGGACTCCAAACGTAATGAGATATGATGGAAGAGAACATTTATAAGTGGTCATGGAGTGTCATAAATATCAGACACAACTTCCTGTTTATCCTAGGAAATACAGAAAAAATATAGGTGAAATGTACAAATCTAAATTTAGTTAAGAAATGATTGTCAATCAATTATAAACATGTAATTTTTATAAAGGAACTGGGATTTTTCATATATAAATGACATAACTAGAATGTACTTATAAATTTAACCAAAAAAAAAAAACAACAACACACTGCATGTAATTATATTTTTAGTGTATATTTGATTTTTATTTAGATTAAGTTTTGGCCTTTATTCACAACACCTCTTACATTCAAGTTTTAATGTTCTCTGATTGTTTGAATAGTTCCATCATCTTTATTCTGAAAAAGTCTATCATACCACTAATTCTATCATACCACTGATCACAGAGGTCACACTGAGGCCATTCAACTTCATCATTTCTCACAAGCACAGGCATTTGTTTCGTATACAGTGCACTCCTTCTTATTTTTACCACAAGGTACCTATCTGAATTTCAGGTACCCCCGCTTCAAGCTCGTATGTTGTTAATACAATAATCATTAACCTTCTTTAAAATGACATCGTTTGCTTCAAGAGACTTTTTTTGTCAATTAAATCGTTTCAGCAGTCTCTGGTCGAGCCTATTGAAGGACCTTTGAAGGTGTTCGATTTTTGCGACTGAGATGCATTAAATAACTGTCCCCAACATCCTTAAGTCTGGTGATCCAAATCCCCTTATTTCTGAAGATATGAAGCATTTATCTCCCTTACTCCAGAGCAGTCAAGAATAACACACAGAACACTCTGGAAGCAGTTTTTGTGCATCTTTTAAAGCAGAATTTCATCATTAAAAGAATAAGCTTGGCAACCATTTTTTTTTTATCTGTGGGGAGTATATGCTTTGTTCTTCACCACAAACAAAAAAGAGTTTACAAGACTAAGGCCATTATTGATTATTATGTAACAAAGTTGCATTTTCCCCTTAAAAGAATGGAAAAAAAATACAGAAATTGTTAAATACTGGGTTGATAATGAAAACTGTATCTGGTCAATTTATGTTCCAAATAAAGCCTAGGTATTTGTCTACCAGCTGCTGTGCAGAAGTTGATCTAAATGCCGTGTTGTAACTCAGGGCAGTCACAATGATATCAGCATCTAGGGAGGTTCTTGACAGCTCCCTAACTCCATTAAACTGGCTTTGATGATAAGAAAATATAGACAACAATTCAGATGTAATTTATTGTTGTGATTTATGTAACTGGCTTTCTCTTAAGACACAAATTAGCCAAAAAACTTCAATTTAACATGCATAATTAGATTTACTCAGGAATTTCAGAGGTGCTTAATGAATTTCCATGATTTATGCAAGTTTATATCTTTTTGTTTCACCAAATTTACATAAAAAATAAACATTTAAATTTTAAAATATAAATACTAAACATTTTTATGAGTTTGAACACTTTTATATGTGACAAAATGCATCACAGAGACCAATTTCAGGACATCCTCCATGATTCTTAAGGTTGGGTGGGTGTACAAAAACTGCTGATGATATTTATAGGAAGTGATTTAAGGAGGAAGGTGCTCTTTATTAGCTGAATTATAGTTATTCTGACATTTTAATAATGTAAATATGCCAAATTTCTTCATCAGTTAAATTTGTAATTTATTAATATTTCAGTGCATAGATATACTTAATAGATCATGCTCATATAAGCATCACTGACTGAGGCCTAATTCAAAGTGACATGTACACTCAACACCTACATATAAATTAAAAAAAAATAGCAAAAAACAGTCTCTGACAAACTAAAACAAGAGGCCCAGGGACCACATCGCTCACCTGAGCAATTGGCTAGGAAAAAGCACATTTCAGATCAGAACTGAAAGTTTACTGAGGGGGGGGGGGCTTGAATTTTAACCCCCCCCCCCCCCCAGGGGGTCATGATTTGAACAAACTAGAATCTACACTACCTGAGGATGATTCCACTTGAGTTTCATCTTTCCTGGCCCTGTGATTCTTGAGAAGAAAATTTTTAAAGATTTCTCTTATATATTCCTATGTAAAACTTTGATTGGCCATTTTGGCCCCACCCTACCCCGGGGGTCATGATTTGAACAAATTTGAATCTACACTACCTGAGGATGATTCCATATGAGTTTCATCTTTCCTGGCCCAGTGGTTCCTGAGAAGAAGATTTTTAAAGATTTTTCCTATAAACTTGAATCTACACTACCTGAGGATGATTCCACATGAGTTTCATCTTTCCTGGCCCAGTGGTTCCTGAGAAGAAGATTGTTTTTAAAAATGCCATTAATTTTTCTCCAATTCATAATTATCTCCCTTTGGAAAAGGGCGTGGCCCTTTATTTGAACAAAATTGATGCCCTTTACCCAAGGATACTTTGTAGCAAGTTTGGTTGAAATTGGTCCAGTGGTTCTTGAGAAGATGAAAATAAGAAAATGATCACTTCATTATAAACAGGAATCTGACCTATAGGTTTTCTCTACAAAAAGCTTGACGATTTCCGTTCCAATTAATGACATTAGGCTGAATACATAAACCAATTCGTTTTTCCTAAATCTTTATTTCAGTGAGTAGAGGTATGAGGAACCCTTTCATTGATTTTCTGAGTTTGTTATCTTCAAATGTAATAATTGATATTTGTCTTTACTTCTCATTGTGCATAAAGGTAATGGCTACTGTCTGTGAAATTCTATTCTTTATGTCTAGGCTATTCATCTGTGAATATAATCAATCATGTCATTAATGTGTGCAAATTATATAGGCCTAAATGAAATCCAAGGAAGTGCATTTACTGAAATTTGTAGCCAAAATCAATGTGATTAAATTGTAAGGAATATAGACAATTGAAATACCTACATCGCAGCTCAATGCTGCTAAGAATACCTGTATTGAGTAAAACATAGTGAGTTATCTTGTCCTCGGAGAAAGTGTGCTTATACTGAGATTCGTTCTGCCTGACTGACAACTGTACATTGGATTGTTACGATTTGATATCTCTTTAGTGTTTCTCATATCAAGAATGGGCATGCATAAAGGATAGATAATTGAAGGAAAAATACACAAGTCTATAAAAAACAAATAGTCTTTGAAAAGGCTAAATTTAAAACTTAACAAGTGTTGTACCGGGTGGATTCGAACCCCCGACTTTGAAAGAAAGTATCAAGTTGTTTAAGCCAGCTCATATATCAGCTGAGCTAGTCTGACTATAAGAATTAATGGCATAAATTTAAAGCAGATTATGAAAATTAGATTTCCTTATTTTTTTGTAGGTTTTTGTGAATTTCGACCCCAGGGCAGGGGTGCCCCTAAAAAAATCTTATCTTAAATTATTCCTTACATCCTAACCAATCAAAATATCACAATTATATTTAGGGGCAGGCCTGTCCTGAAGGACTTCAAGGCCAAAATTCATGCAATAATCAACGCTTTAACGGACAAAATGGTGTTTTGGTCAACTTTGGTGGTTTATTGTAAAGTTGTAAATAATAAATTTTAGGTTTAAAATACAAATTTGAAAAATTAAATTATATGCGGTAGAAAACAACAAATAAAGATTCATTTTTGAATGTCGTTTTTTCCGGGAAATTGTTCTCTCCTATAGGTCAATTCTTTTGTTAAAGTGAATACATCCTTTACAACGACGACGACAGACGACGGACAAATTTTGATCAGAAAAGCTCACTTGAGCCTTCGGCTC